ATTGTTTTATCAAAATAAACAGTGCAGTGATTTAAGCAGCAGCACCGAGCACAGGTACAGGCAGGGCAGATAGGGAAGGACCTAGGGATGGAATCAATAACTAATAATCAATAATCCAGCAAGGCTGGGAACTTGTCCATGGATTCCACAGTGTTTTCCAAGCATCCCCTGAGCTTATTTGGTTTGCATGACGCCTTTAAACTCCCCCGACTGGAGAATCCCTTTGTGGGATCATGGAATTGTTGGGGTTGGTGAAAGACCTCTGGGGTCAGCAAACCCAAACACAAACCCAGCACCAATCCATGTCCCCCAGTGCCACATCCCCACGGGTTTGGGGCACTTCCAGGGATGAGGATTCCACCACTGCCCTGGGCAGCCTGATCCCACCTGGCTGCCTCCTCCCATCGGGGAATTCCAGAGAGGGAAAAGTTCCCCCCAGAGCCTCCTGTTCTCCAGGCTGAGCCCCTTTCCCATCTCCCTCAGCTGCTCCTGGTGCTTCAGACCCTTCCCCAGCTCCATTCCCTTCCCTGGATGTGCTCCAGCTGCTCCACATCCCTCTTGTCCCAGCAGTGTTCCCAGGGATGGAGGTGGCCCAGCAGAGCCAGCACAGGGGACAGGCACTGCCCTGGCCCTGCTGCCAGCCCAGAGCTGGCACAAGTCAGCTGCCACCGGCCTCTCTGCCCACTTGGGCACCCCCATCCATAGGGATCCATCCTGCACTGCCGGGATGTAAACACTGGGAACACCAGCGTGGAGCTCTCACTGACATTTTCCACCGGCGTTCCCCACCTTCCTCCCGCACCCCGGATCCGTTGTCCCCTCCGCATTCCCGGTGGTGTTTGTGCCACCTCCCCGCCGCGTGTCCCCGCCCCGCCGTGCCACGCTGCCGTTGTCCCCCTGCGACGACGCTCCATACCCCAGTGTCCCCTGGGATGTGTCCGCTCCTGCCCCACCACGGCGACACCCCCTCCCCACGCCCTCCCGGGGGTCTCCGGTGTCTTCCC